TAATATGTAGGATCCACTCCTCAGAAGAATGTTAGCCAAGAATAATTCTCTCAGTACTTGCAATAAATAATGTAGAATTTTGATTAATTGGATAGAAGCATTCAGGTAACTATAAAATTTAGCTGAAAATAATATTTCCTATTTCAAAAATGAACAGCTTTCTCATTTCCAAAAAGTATTACAAATTGAGAATTGTCAAAGAGATTAGCAGTGTATCTGTGTCCACATTATCTAACGGATTACATGTTTATAGAACATTCTTTATTGCTTCTTGGTTTCCATTGCCATTTAATCCTTTATATGGCCATTGCTTTAGCCTCTTCACTTTTTATTTATTCACTTAAAAATAATTTTACTTTTCTTTCTCCTTCTTTCACTAATAAGGGAATCTGGCTGTCCTCTTTTACTATGCCTATTCTTATTCATTGCGCTTTCATATTTTTACTCACATTAGCCTTTATTCTGCAGATAAATACAGAATGAAAAGTATCAACAGAAGGCTTTTCTAGGTGAGCCTCTACTGGTGCTTCTGTGATCCATATTATATAAAAACAAACAAAACAACACTGACGATTGCTTTCTGTTTTAAGTCATGGGCCTTGGTTGATGTCAAAGAGGCTGTGTTTTCATCACTGTCCTTTGCTTTCTGTTGTCTTTTTGATGTAAGCCTGTTTCCTCCCAAATGCCTGCTGTGGATGGGCACTGTTCTAGATGCCGGGGATGCAACAGTGAATTAAATGGACAAAGGTTTCTCCCTTAATGGATGCTGGTGGCAGTGATGGAACAGAAAATAAACAATAAATAATAAATATAATAGGCGAGTTAAACAGTATGTTAGAAAATAATAAGTTTATGTGAAAAGGGCAGAAGGCAAGGAGAGTTGAGAATATGCGTGTGTGGGGTGTGACATTAAACAGTGTAGTAACGGTTGCTTTGCCAAGGTGACGTTGGAACAAGGACTTGAAGGGAGGTGGGGAGTGAGCCACAGGCTGTCTGGGAAAAAGCTTTACAGGCAAGAGGGAGTCACTACTAAAGCCCTAGGGCAAAATACTCCTGGAAGTTGAACATACTTCCAGAATCTATTTTATGGTCCATTTTACCCCACAATGTTAGCTTATTTGTAAGTAAAGGGATTCATGTTTTTTAACAATTTTTAAACTATAATCTCACTTGTCATAACTCAAACTCAAACTGGAAACATCACTTATTCAGAACATACATGAGAATTATCAGGGCAAAAAAAAAGAAAGGAAGAAATGGCGTCTGAGATGCCAAAATATATACTTAGAGAAAAGGCCTCAGGCTCTCTTTTATGGCTTTTATACAAAATTTGATAAAGCTGGGTTACTTGGTATCCAAGCTTTTGATGGGAAAGGAAGGGATTTGAAAGAAACTTCAGCAAGGAGGAAGTTAGAGGTTCTGTTGATCAGATCCACTGACAGCAGTGGGAATTAATAACCGACGGTTATTAGAAGTCTAATAGAGTCAACAAAATGCATCAAAGCCCAAAGGAAGTGCCACCCAGAAGCTACCCTTGGCGAGTGGGGCAAGTAGACCCACCTCCTCAAAGAGGCCCTGAAAACACCACTGAGGAGCATGAGACAGCCAGTTACACAAAATGACAACCATGACCCTCCCCACCAAAGTTTATTTATTTTTTTTATTTTACTATTTTTTATATATATATTTTTAGTTGTCCAGCTAATTTCTTTCTATTTTTTTTTTAAGTAAAGACAGGGTCTCGCTCTTGCTCAGGCTGGTCTCGAACTCCTGAGCTCAAATGATCCTCCTACCTCAGCCTCCCAGAGTGCTTGGATTACAGGCATGAGCCACCGAGCCTGGCCCCCACCAAAGTTTAATAACAGTGTGATCAATTCAGAAGGTAGAGAGGGAAGGATTTTAGATTTTAATTCAAACTCATTACAAATTTTTTAAAGTTTTGTTGATTAAAGAGATAAATTTTGAACTATCCAGAAAACTTGAGTATCTAGGAAGCCTCATTCACAAAGAATACCAAATAGGCAAGTTCTCTTGGCATCATTTAAGGTGATGTCCATATTATTTTAAAGTTGAAAATCTTCCATAATGGGGTATGGATGGTCTGGTTATTTCTTATCATTGCTACTAAAATTGCTCCTTGTTAAGCTATCTTATTACATTTGAGTGTTTTCTTGTTGTGAGAAAGCAAGATGTGGGAAAACCTGAAATCAGATTATAAATTAATTTACACGTAGATTATAAAACTCTATTTTCAGATTATAAAAATGTCTTAATACAAAAAGCATTTGTGAGTTTTACAGAAATAGTCACCACAAAGTATGTTTCTCCTTCCCCTGGCTGATTATTTTCTTTAATTTAGGAAATTTTGATTTACCCACAACTTTCCAGGCAAAAATCCATTACATAAAGGAAACTGTACCAACATTATATGTTACCATAGCAACACCAGTGATTACTCAATGCCTGAAATGAGCCTCCAATTCCAGAAGATGCCCTGAGTTGAAGAATTAGAAATTCATTTTTGGCATATCAAAATATGAATGTAGGAGAAGGGGTTACATTTTAACATACACAGAATTAGTATTAACAGTGCTTCAATGCATTTTTTTTTTTTTTTTGAACTAGGCTAGCAATGATCAGATATCCAAACACCTGCCAAAGGCACCTGGAGGATTTCGGCTCTGGGTCTTTGCTTACCTAGTGCGACAGAAAAGCAATGAGGAAGGCCCGATTCCAACCACCCGAGCAGCGAAGCCACGATCCTTGCTAGGAGAGATGATCGAATGGGCTGCTTCTAAAAGGGATGCTGGAGACACTCACCAGTGCTGAGTTTAAGCTAACGATTTTTTAAAGATGAGCTGAGCAGAAAACATTTTTTATTAAAAATAGCCAATCATCTTTGTCATCACTTCTGCCGTGTTTGGCATAAGTAATTAATACTCTAGGAGGCTTGCTAGAAGGATGGACAACGTGACTTATTTGTGCTCATTCCTTCTGATTGACTGTAGAATCTGCTTCAACTCCAGTCTTTAGTATTTGGCATAGATATGTCAAATCTAACTCCATATCCTCATTAAAAACATTTATTCTCAATATTCTTTAACTCAGAAAGTCCAAAGTAAAAATCATATAGACTTCAAAGAACATCCAGAAAACCACTTTCATACATGTCTCATTTCCATTGTTTTAAAAAATTTAAAAAAAAAACCAGAACAGACAGTATATAATAGGTTGAAGAAATAACTGCAATTAAAAATTGACAAGAATAAAATTAAATTACAAAAATAAAGTTCATTGTAGTAGGGAAAAAGTCAGGGATCATTTAGGCCTAATTGATCTTTCTATATTGACAAAATGGAGCTATAGAGTCAGATGACAAAAATTTGTAAAACAGATATCAAAAGAGAAAATTTGAAGGCAGCCCCTTTTAGAACTACTTATCCTAATTTTCTATGATTTTATATAAAATTGTCAAACAATATAAGCCAGGCAAATTCATATCAAATCAAGACATCTGTACACTCTAGAGGCCTATTAAAGTATTTTAGACAATGTATAAATCTAAATGAACTGAAGATAGAAGTATTTAGTGTTGTGGGTATGATTTTTTTGCATCGTGTGACTATACTGGAAAAATCACTGAATACGCTATTTTCAAATTGCTACTTACTATGACTCAATATTCCAGAATTTTGTGTGTTTCATAGAGATAATGATGACCCTTAATTTGGGAAATTACTATGTCAAAGATTGTAGCTATTAAAAGACCATAGTTTTGTTGTGATGCTTGTGCATTTCTGTTATGTTTTTATCAGGCATTGTTAGATTTTCAGTCCTTAAGGTCTTATAAAATATTTGTGTGGGAGTAGAGAAGGGGAAAGAAAGATTAAGAAATGCATTAAGTACGGGATGGGGCAAAGGGGGGTATTTCACATTAGAAAAGGGTAATTTTAGCCACGATGTCATAAAACAATAATGGATGAAAGTTGACTAATAAACCAAATGAGATGTAGGGGAGGGCAAATAGTTATTTTATTTAAGAAAGTCGCCTTAAAGAAATTCTCATTGTTTTATAAGGCAATTTTACCTTCTGTAGAGGAAAGAACACAAACTTTGGAGTCCCACAGACATGGACTGAATTTCCAGCTCAGCTATTTTAATAAATATGTGTGCCTAGGAAAATTAGGTAAGCTTGCAGAGTCTCCATTTCCTTAATTGCTGACAGATTATTTCGATAATTAATTTTTCAATGAATATAAATCACATACCAGAGTGCTGGGGATACAGAGGGCATTCCTATCTCTTAACTTTTCTTCATAGTATTTGCCCATAAGATGTTGCTTTTAATTGACTTTTTTAAATGTTTCTATATTTACCTAATGTTTACATCCCTTTAAAATGGATCTTTTAAAATTTTTTTGGTTTGTCAAATGTTTATTTAATGCTGTCTTTAACATTTCCAGCATTATCCAGTTTTATTGTACTAGAAGCTTCTACATGAGTTAGCCTGTTGCCTGAATCAAATGGCCCATACGTTTTCCCAACAAACTTGGAAACAGTCAAGATTTTGTAATATCTTTTGAAAATAGGCTAATCTGATGACTCTATTTTCATAACTCAAGATAAACCATCTGAAGAAATATATAAACAATCTTGAAAGCCACAATATTAAAATCAGAACATTTTGGAATTATCCCACAACAAGTCAGCATTGAGTAAGGGTTTTTGAACTTACTTTGCATTAATAGAATTGCACGTGGTCAGGTTTGCCAGGGCTAGAGCGGCAGCTTCGGTCACCTCTTCATTGTCACTTTTTAGCAACTGAACCAACTGTGGAATCCCTACCGAAAAAGAAAGGCAAAATGTGACTTTTACGATGCCCACGCACACTAAAATATGACAGCCTAAAAAAGCTCAGAAAAAGCTCAGCTCGTTTCCAGTTTGCTTACCCTGATTATTGAAAAAATCTTTGCTGGCTGAATTCTCGCACATGGCTGAAATAGCTTGGGAAGCAGCAACTTTAGTCCCATCATTTTCAGAACCCAAAAGGGTTACAAGGCACTTTTCGACCTCTTGTTCATGAAAAAGTTTTCTATTTTCAGCTTTCATAAACCAAAAGAAAAAAAAAATTCAGAATTTTGATGCAACAACTGTGCAGGTATTACTACTTAACCCATCCAAAGTAGGACATTCAAACCATTCGCCAGCTTTAATACTAGACTCTAAACTAAACAAAATGCACGCCTAGTTAACCTTTAGAACACAGCCATTATGCATGGTGAATCATGGATGTTGCATTTTTTCGTATTCCCATATATATCAATATTATGGCAAAGGAAATTCTGTAATAATAAAGGTATTAGTTTTCAGATTTAGCAAGCACTGATTTAACACCGATCTTGTGCCTGGCCTGGCACACAGTGTTCACACAGGTGATCTCACTAAGGACAAAAACTGATTTCTTTGATGGTTGTTTTAAATACAAAATCCAATATGTGAAGAATGCCTACTATGTGCAAATTGGTGAGCAGGATGCTTAAGACTTCAGGAGAAGAACAGAGGAGAGGAAAAAGTAAAACTGAGTAGTGAAGTATGAGGAACTTAGTAGTCTTAAATCAAAAAATCATAATCATCTTTCATCTCAAAGTACAATACATGCTTAAGTAGCAAAAATGAAAATAATTTCTTAATTGATAAAAACCATAAACATAATCTAAAAATATATTAGAATAGTTTGC